CAAATAAATCTGAAAATTAACATTTTAAATTTTCTTGAGATTTCAGAAATATATACAATTAATTGGTGGCAATTGTGTAAAAATGTCACCTAAAGTTCAAATATAATATGCAAATTGACTTACTGAATTCAAATTGCAATGTAAAAAAACAAAACAAAAAACCTCAATAGTGTAAATAACAGAATCAATGGTGGCTCTGGCGGCCATTTTGGATTAAAAATTAATCAGACAATGGTGGCTCTGGCGGCCATTTTGGATTAAAAATTAATCAGAATACATACAACTTCATCATTCAGTAACTACAGGTACCACAATCTTTTTTTTCTGAGTTGTAAAAAGTCATTCACAGATAATATCAATATTTCAGAAAGTCATACATACACACTTTTTGTGTAGTTTAATATTTGATCTTTTAAGGTTAAACTGTTCATATTAATGATATAATTAACATACTAATTAATTTTATTTGGCTTGTTTATTTTCTATCGCAACAACAGGTTTTGGCGTGATGATTCCCTACTATATCTACCTCTAGTTTGTAATTAATATGTCCATATTGATAAGCTAATTTGCATCCTAATTAACTACTTTCATTTTTTAAATGTTAATAGTTTTATCAGTATAGCAATACACATCCCCATAATGAATCAATGTAATTAATTTGCATAGGTAACAATCAATTAAAAAAATGAAGCACATACACATATGGTTCTAATAATTTTAGCCGCTTTTATTCATTTGCAATTTCATGATTAGTTACAAAAAGACAAAATGACACCACTTAATTTCATTATTTCGGAAGTTGCCTGTCTGCCAATTTATGATATGTCTGCCCTGTTTTTATTTACCCTTGAAATGTATCTCTTGCAAAACAAATATACAAACACTCCTATGCTCTTCATTGCCCTTGTCTTCTACAATTTTATCATCATTACACACTGGTTTTACTCTACAAATATGTTGATGCAAGTGTTTCCATAATCCACTACAGCCAATTTACAATCATCACATACTGCTAAACCATATGGATAACTCAGTCTATCTTTCTCACTATCAATCCTACATATAAACCGACCGTGGATGTCATGCTTAGTGACTTTATGTTCACTACTCACATATACATAATCATTCTTATCTATGG